TTAGCTCAGTTCTTTAAGTGGCTGCTTCCAAAAAGCAGTCAGGCTCAGGTTGCTGTGGTTCGATCCCCACAACTCAAGCCAGCCAAACCTGCCCTGAAGGCATTAAGAGCAAAAACAAACAAACAAACAAAAAACAACAACAAAAAGAAATCCCAGGGACCCATGGAAACACTGTTCCTGATCCAGATGGTGCAGCGAGTACAGTGACTCAGTCAGGATGAAAGGACACAGGCCACTCTCCTGTGCTGCCAGGCAACCCCTGCCAGGTGAGGATGGGCCTGCACCCACATGTTTGCTTGCTTTCCTGAAATGCCCTTTGCAGAGCCTTCAGGCTCCCGCTGTCACAGACAGACCATAGCTGCCAGAGACCATAAATAGCCAAGCCCCTGGATGCGGCAGTCAGGAAGCTTCTGGGTTTGTCCCAGTCAAGTTGATGTCCCACCCTTTATTAGCTTCCTGGAATCTCAGCTGGAGGCTGCCTCCTCTCCCAGGACCAATGCACAGGTAGGACGTAGGGAGGGAGGCAGTGTGAGCAGTGAGGAGAGGACCATGAAGGACAGGAAGGGGCCGGGCTGACCTTACCTGATGGTGTCCTCCAGGTGCCCCTCCCCCAGGAGTCGCAGGAACATGGCCTGGAGGTCACTCCAGTACAGTGTGCCTTGGTGGGAGTCCAGCTCAGAGTTGACGTCCTCGCTGACCACCAACACTGAGTCCCCACATGCTTGGCAGGACCCGCGGAAGGACACGTAGCCCAGGAGGAAGGCTGGCGGGTGGCGAGATGGGGATTCTCCTAGTGCCTCCCTCTGGACTCCAGAAATCTTTCCCAGCCCAAGGCCCTTTCTTGGGGGCAAGGGGATGACTCTCACCCCCAGTGAAGATCAGTAGGGCCGTCAAGACCAGGTAAGGGGCAGCCTTGCGTCCTGCTGCTGCCCAGGGTATGAGGTTTTGTGGCCCGGATCTAGAGTCCAGGGACTCAGGGCCCTTCAGCTCCATGGGACAGAAGTGAGCAGACAGCTTGACACCCTCCTCGCCCTCTTCCTCTTCCTCCTCGAGGTGCCCCTGGAGAGGGCCTTCCACCCGCGTGTAGATGCTCTGAGAGGGTCGCTGTGGGAGCGGGATAGGCGTGAGATAGGGAGAAGAGGTTCAAGGGGTGGGGCTGACCTGGCAATAATGGTGTCAGGGACTGGGGTGCCACGTGGGCAGCAAGCAGGGAAAGGGACTTGCAGAGGAGGCAGGAGGAAACAGGGGGGCAAGGGAGTGGGGAAGGGAGGGGCCTCTGGCCTGGAGGGGCCAGCCTTAAGTATGGGAGGGGGTGAGGGACCAGCTGGGAGGCTTAAGGTGCCCCCTGCCATCTGGGTCTTACCGCTGTCTGCAGTAGAGCCTGGAGCCGCTCCATGGTCTTGCCCCCTCCTGAACCCTGCGGGCTACCCCGTGCCCCAGTGATAAACCGTTTTTGAGAGCCCCAGGGGCCCCTATCTGCCGTGGCAGGCAGTCGGAGCCCCGCTGCTCCTCACTCCACTCACACAGGGCTAGGAGAACAGGCCTGGCCTCGGCAGCATTCCATCAGCGCCCCCCCCCCCAACCCCAGAGCACCAGGGGCTGTGCCCTCCCCTGTCACAGCCCCGCCCCTGCCCCTTCTCCGCAAAACAATCAATTTTTTTTTTTACCTTGGGGCAGACTTTGGCCTCTGAGTTCCCGTCAGGGGTCAGAAGTGGGGGAGGGAGCTAAAAGCAAGGGGGAAGGGAGAGATATTGGTACCTCTCTCCTCTCTCCTGCTTCCACCCTTCCCGGTATTCTTGGGAACCCCTTCCAAAGGCCCCCAGCCCCTTGGAAGGTTCACCATGCACCATGAAGATATCCGTTCCTCCTTCTCTGGCTCACAGAGCCCAAAACCAGGCCCTGTGGCATATCAGCAGTTCCCCCTCCCTGACGCCCGCCCCGGGGTCCCTAGCTGCAGCCAACACAGCGGTGTAACCCAGGCTTTGGTCTGGCCGCGTGGGTGTCCCTCTTTGGAATCTGGCCTCCGCTGGCTGCTGGGGAGGAAGGGTCACGGGAGGGTAGATGTAGCCAGGAGGGACCAGTGAGGCTCAGGACAAGGGTCTTGAGGCCAAGGATTCGCGGGTCAGGGTTCACCCTGCTTGGGGAAGGCAGAAAGGGTCCTGGCCAAGGCATGGGCAGAGTTGCATGAATTTGGACACGTCAAGGTTCTCCCAGAGCACCTAAACTCTTGGTCACCAAAGGACTTAACGACTCTTAGGAGAGTGGGGAGTCTGAGGGAAGGCCAGGTAACCTCGCCCCAGAAACACCTACGTTTATCTTACAATTTCAAGCGGGGGGAGCAGGTTTCCAAGGCCGGCAGAGGACCCTCAGGCAACAGCCCTGATAGGAAGGCTCAGGGTCCTCGCCCGCTCACTTCACCGGCCCCCCCCAACTCCGCCCGGAAACCTCAGCCCCTACTTGGGTCTGAAGAGATGCGACACTTTGAGGCTCACCAGGGTCCCAGTTTCCGCTCCATGTGTAAGCCGGTGTCAAGGAAGGAAGACGGCACTGCCCTGCTCACCAGAGGGGCTTTACGGAGACCTAAACCCACGCCTAACCCACTGCTGGCCCCACCCAGGCTCTGCCACGCCCCCTCAGGTCCCGGCTCGCCCGTCACCGGCCCCGCCCACCCAGGTCCTGGCGCCCCTGCTGCGCCATCACTGGGTGCTCCACCATCACTGGGTGCTCCGCGTGCTCGCCTCTGCATCTGGGTCCACCTGAAACCTGAGAAGTCTGTGCTCCCGGGGCTGTGCCCCAGGCCCGCTATGGAATCGACAGAAACATAGGTGTGGCCCTTCCCTCTGGGTTCCACGTGCCCCCAAGAGACCAGACTTTTTCTTTTCTTAAAACATTTTTACTTCTTTCAACTCAGAAACATCACAATCTAAGAGGACAAGAGGGGAAGAACAGGGGGCGATGTGAGCGTGGGGTTCGGAGGTAGGGGGTCTTAGATCTGCGCTCTTGGAGTCCTGGCTGGAAACCAGCCCTCCTGCCGACCCCAGGTCCCAGCGTGCTGCACCACAGATGCAAGGTGTGAGAAAGGGCCGCCCTCAGGGGCACTTCCGCTCCACGCACTGCTTCCCGCCCTCCTCGTATTCCTGCTTGGAGATCCACATCTGCTGGAAAGTGCCCTGGAAGGAGAGAGGCCAGGTCCACCAGTGAGGATGGCCTTCGGGACAGGGGCGAAGGTGACCCTGTGGAAGCGTCCCCTCCTCCTAGCCCCTCAACTGTCTGGCTCCCCCTCCTGCCTGTACACTAAGAGGGCGAATACCCAGAGATTGAACAGACCAAGGTCATTCATTCAACAAGCATTTATTGAGCATCTATCTTCCTTGGGCACTTATAGCCCAGGCCAGGTCAGCCAGGGACATGCCTCATGAACCCCAACACTCAACAGCACCCCCAATACTTTCCTCTCCACCAGGTCTTCTCTCCTCCCTCCATCAGGGCACTCACCACACTCACAGCATATGACATCTAACTTCTGGATAGAATTGTCTTCACCCCAGTGCCCACTGCCACCTGCCCCTGCAAAAACCTGTCCCCGGAAGTGTCCAGCACTGGGAACGTCCCACAAACACTTCTCTCAGATGGCTGCTGTGTCTCCTAAAGATTTCTGTCTGTGTGCCCTCTGCCCCTTCCATCACAGAATCCCTCTGGACCTCAAATTTAACATATTCGGACTTCATTATCCTCCCCAGGCTTCCCCCAAGCCTGCCTCTTCTGTGGTCCTTCTCATCCTCTAAGCCTGTGCTGCTCACCACAGTGACCGCTGGCCTCATTCACCCCTTGAGTACTTGAAATGTGGACAGCCCACATGGAGATGTGCTCTATGGAAATATATGCTAAGTTTCGATGACTAAGTGTAGAAAGAATGTAAAATATCTCACTTAAGAATTTTTTAGGGCCAGGGACATAGCTTAGTAGAATAAGTGCTTGCCTGGCAAGCGCAGGGTCCTGAGTTCAATCCCTGGTACTGCAATAATAATAATAATTAATAATAATAATAATTATTATTATTTAGTCAGGTGTGGTGACAAATACCTATAATCCCAGAACTCAGAAGGCTGAGGAAAGAGGATTGCTGAGAGTTTGAGGCCAGCCTGGGTTGCACAATGAGGTCAAGACCTGAATGGACTACAAAGCAAGACCCTATCTCCAAAAACTACCCCCACAAAACAAAGAAATAAATAAAAAATTTTATACTGATTACACATTGAAATGGCAATATTTTGGATATATTGGATTAAATACAGTATATGCTATTCTTTTTTGGTTTTTCAGTGTCTTTCTGTGTAGTCCAAATTTGCTCTTTATTGAGGGCTTTGGTGTGTTTTTTTGAGATTTTTTTATGTATTTGGTACAGGGTCTCACTACACAGCTTGAACTCCTAGTGATCCTCCTGTTTTCAGCCTCCCCCCATGCCTGGTCTCGGTGGCCAGCTCAACACACTCAGGGGCAGGGCTGGCAGGGCATGTGATGCCAGCGATAGAACCCTGGTCCCTGCACTTGCCTAAGTAGGCGCTCAGTCCCCTGAGAGATATTGCTGGCCCTGAGACTTTGTCTGTATAATTCAAGCTGGCTTTGAATTCATTTTGTATCCCAGGCTAGCTTTGAGCTCCCAGGGATCCTCCCTGCCTCAGCCTCCTGAGGATAGGAGTGTAGGTGTATCTTGAACTCTCTACATAGCCCAGGTTGGCCTCAATTCTTTTTTTTCTTTTTAAGACGGGGTCTCACTATGCAGTTCAGGCTGGCCTTGAGCTCACTTTGTAGTCCAGGCTTGTCTTGAACTCACAATCCTTCTGCCTCAGCCTTCCAAGCACTGGGATTACATGTATGCACCACCATGCCTGGCTGGTCTCAAACTTGTAATCCTCCTACCTCTGCCTCCCAAGTACTGGGGTAATGAGTATGCACCATAAAACCTAGGTATAAAGTATATTCTATTTTTGGTTGTTTTGTTTGAGATAGGCTCTTGTTATATAGTTCAAGCAGGTCTTGAACTCACTGTGCAGTACATACTGGCTTTGAATTTATGGCAATCCTTGTGGCTCAGACCTCCCCACCCCCACCCAGTGCTGGGATTATAGCTGTGCATCACCATGGTCAGCTAATGTGTGTTCTTAAGAATTTATTTTGAGGGGCCAGGAAAATAGCTCAGTAGAATAAGCACTTGCCTGGCAAGCACAAGGTCCTGCGTTCAATCCCCACTACCACAAAAAAAAAGAATTTATTTCACCTGTTACTTTGTCCTTTATTTTTTTAAAAAGATTGATTGATTGACTTGGTGCAGGATCTTGCTATGCAGCTCAGACTCCTAGTGATCCTCCTATCTTAGGCTCCCTAGTGCTGGATTACAGGCATGTACCACCACCCCCAGTTCCAGTGGCTAGCACAGCTCGGAGCCAGCACGGCATGAGGTATTGGGGCTTGAACCCAGGTCTTTGCACTTGCCAGGCAGGTGCTTAGACTGCTGAGCTATAATGCTGGCCCTGTCCTCTCTTTAATTATAGCTATGAGAAAATTTACAGGTAAGTGTGTGACATACATTGCCTTCCTGTTGGATAGCACAGTCCCCATGCTGACTTCTTTTTTTTTTTTTTTTTTTTTTTTTT